TTTTTTTGGGGGGGGCGGGGGTTTTCGAGACAGGGTTTCTCTGTGTAACAGTCCTAGCTGTCCTGGAACTAGCTCTTGTACAACAGGCTAGCCTTGAACTCACAGAGATCTGCCTGCCTCTGCCTCCTGAGTGCTGGGATTAAAGGTGTGCACCACCACCGCCCAGCTCAATTTTCGAGGCTTGAACCATTTCCTTTGCCTGTTTGATTGTGTGTGTGTGTGTGTGTGTTTTATTTTATTTTATTTAAGAGACAGTTTTTGTTTGTCTTTTCTTCAGTTTCTTTATGTGGACCCGGACGGTCTCAAAGTCAGAGGTCTGGCTGCCTTTGACTCCCTTGTTGAGATTAAAGGAGTGCACTACCAGGCCTAGCTTTCCATTTCTTAATAATGTTGTTTCTTTTATTTCTTTGTTTTGTTTGTTTTTTGTTTTGAGACAAGGTCACCTGTAATCAAGGATGGTTGAATTTATGATCCTTCTGCTTCCATCACTCAAGCTGGGATTACGGTTATGTACACTGAGCCTGGCTTCTGTGGTGCTGGGATTACAGTTACAGACACTGAGTCTGGTTTCTGTGGTGCTGGAATTACGGTTATGGATCCTGAGCCTGGCTTCTGTGGTCCTGGGATTATGGTTATGGACACCAAGCAAGCCCAGCTTCTGTGGTGCTGGGGTTACGGTTATGTACACAGAGCCTGGCTTCTGTGGTGCTATCAAAACCAGACTTCAAGTGTTAGCCAGGCGCTCTTCCGACTGAACTGCACTCATCCCTGCCCCTGCTTACTTTTTAAGGCTTCGAGACTATGACATAGGGGCTTCCAGACTGTTGTTAGAGAAACCTCTGGCATCCCTTCTGAAGCCAGAGACCAGAAATCACTCACTCAGCAAATAAGTGAAAACAGCCTTTCTGTTTTAGACGCTGTTTTCCTTATCTTGAAGTTTTATTTTTGGATTTCGTTCAGAAATGATTTTAAGACTTTGCCTCGTCTTCCACATATGGCCAGCAGAGGGCACCCTAAGAACGGCATTTGTATCAGGATGGCCCGAAGCCATTTTCACTCTAGGAAGGCCTGTAGCAGATGAGAGTGCCAATCAGGGTTCTGAATTAAGGTTAGGTGGTGGTGGTTGGGGGGTGTTGGATGCATGAGGTGGTGCCAGCTAGACACCTGTGCGGATGAACCTCGATCTGTGGCCACTTCTGCGAGGCATTTTCTGATCCCCAGAACCCACAGCAGAAAGAGCAAACTGACTCCTAAAAGTGGTCTTCTGACCTCTGTGTGGGCATTGACACCGCACTGTCCCCAGAGATGCTTGGGCCGTTTCTTTTGGCCATCAGGCTATTAAAACAATGGTCTCTGAGGAATTAAAGTCCCCCAGGAATCACATGTTGGGGAAGGAAAGGGCCGGAGCTTGTTTTCCAGGAAGATTTCAAACGTATGCGGGAAAGCTCTCTGAGACGTTGTTCTGAGATCTGGGCAAGAGTGGTAGCCTCTGACAGTTAGACCACCTTGCAGGGCAGACTAGAGCCCAGACAATGGTGGACGGAGGGTGAGCAGGGTCCTACTTGATCAGGATGCCTTACTGACATCCTTGCTCACTATTTCAAACTAAGCCTGCTGGGGACTGAGGTCAGCCCACGGACTGTCAATCAAACCAAAGGTACTGAGCACGGAGACAGACTCCACACTGGGGAGACAATGGGCGATTTCATTTGATGTTTCTCTGAGTTTGTTTTATGCCTTTCTCCCTTTGACTGATTTTAATTTGTCCTCACTGGATACTGCAGCAGCAGAGTTGGCCCCACCCCTCACTATAGGCGTAGGCCTCACCTGGGCAGCACCTTAGAGCTGACCCTGTAGTTGGGATGCAGGTGGCTGGCCCTACGGGGCTGAGAGCAGGAGAGCTGGCCCTGATGATGTGAGTGTGGGGGACCCGGATCTACGGGCCTGAGAGCAGGAAAACTAGCCTTGCTTCTTGCTGCAGGCTGCATTGGGTGAGCTAGCCAAGGCTGGAGAGCTCACCCAGGTAGTGATGATGAGGAAAAGCTGGTGGGCTGACCAACTCAGCTACAACTAGGGCCCAGAACCAGGGCTACGAGTTGGTCCACCCCACCATCCTCTAAATCTATGAACCGTGAAGCATGTGGAGCAATGGAGCATGTGAGGGGAAAAGCCTACAGATACAAAACAGCAGGATCTCCCTGACACGGGTCCACAGCAGGATACCAAGAGAAGCTCCAATGAGAACCCATCATTGATGATGTAGCGAAATCAGAGACCTCCAGCCAGATCCATGACCCAAGACAATGAACCCCTGCAAGTAAAGATGAACGGACTAAAGGGTGAACTGTGTGATTTGATGGGTCTCACTACAGCTTCCATGACAAGATTCATCTTTTGTTTGGTTTGGTTTTTGATTTTTCTTCTAAGTCTGATTTTGATCGAGAGGTTGTAAGGGTGGGGAGATAAAGTAGAATCGAAATGCATGATATGAAATCCACAAAGAATCAAAAAAGTTTTTTAAAAAAGATAAATAAAAAAGAAATAGGAAAGTCACTTGGAGACTAGAGATGGAGGGGCCATTTAATACCATAAGGCACAGTGAAAAGCAGGAGCCATGTTGGTGTGCATGCCTATAATTCCAGCTGTTCCAGAGGTTAAAAGAACAATACAGAATATCAGAGAAACAATTCTTTGAAAAGATAAAATTGGAAAACTCTTAGGCAAGTCAAACAAAAGAGAGAAGACCTCAATTTTTTTAAATTAGACATAAAATAAGAATATTAATAGATACCACTGAAATCCAAAGGATTATTAAAAATGTATATCCTGATAAATTGTAAAACCTAGGAAAAATGGATATTTTTTTGACACATGTGACTCAAAAGAATATAAGCAACCCCAAAATGATAGTGAGCCTTGAAACTGGAGGAGCAATAGCCTCCCAATAAAGACAATCAAAGTACTTGGCAGATTAATTGCTGAACTGTACCAGATCTCCAATGAAGAGCTAAGACCTTCTCATACTATCCCACAAAACTGGAAGGGAAGGAAGGAAGCTACAGCCACTCTGATGGCAGAACTGGGTGATGATATCACACACAGAGAGAGCTGCAGACAATTTCCTTGATAAACACAGATGCAAAATCCTCAGTAAAACACCAGCAACTCAAGTTAAATAACAGAAGAAAAAGCTAAAACCCCAGGAGTGAGGTGGTTTCACTCCAGGGATGCTGGAATAACAAGTGAGTTAATGTAATACAGCCTAAAAGCAGAATAAAGACAAGTTACATAACCATCTCAATGGATATAAAAAAGGTTTTGACAAAATTCAGCATCCTTCACGATTGAAAACTCTGAAGTAATCTCCCCATGACAACACCTGTCTGTGAAAAGCCAGCAGTGACTTTTATACCAAATGGGGAAAATGGACTGGTTTCTCCTGAACCTGTGACAAGAAAGGATATCTGGTCTGCTCACTAATTTGGTGACCTCAGTAAGATCATGAGCTATGTTCTTGTAGCTTCCTTCCTTTCTTCCTCTTTCTTTCTCTCCCTCCTTCCTTTCTTCTTTCCTTCTTTTATTCCTTCCTTTCATTTTCTTTTATCTTTTTCTTTTCAGACAGTTTTAAGTAGCCCAAACTTGTCTTGAATTCACAATGTAGCCAGTGACAACCTTGAGTTTCTGATGACAATTGGGGTAGTCACCAATCTATGAGTAGAGCAGAATATTGTTAGGCGCCATTATGTTGGCATTTTTCCTCCAATTGTGTTTGGTTCTATTCTAGGTTACTGGGCCATTCAGTTTCTAGATCCTAGCACTCCAGGCCGTGGCGGGGTGGGCTCACTCTTGTGGTCTCAGGCTGGACCAGTCATTTCCCATAGTCTCTGAGCCACCCTTACCCTGGTCCCTTCTCCCCTACACATCCTATAGGCAGGACAGAGTGTGGGTTGTATGGCTCAGTTGGTGTACCAATACCTCCACTGGAAGACTTGCCTTTCTAGTCATCTCTTTCAGTCCTCTCCCCTCCTCCTTCCAACCCAACCCCTCATGTTCCTATCCCCACCTGCCCCCAGTACGCCCATGAGATCTCTCTATTTCCCCTTCCCAGGGAGAACCATGTGTCTCCCCCACTTGGACCCCCCTTGTTACCCAGCCTCTCTGGGTCTATGGATTATAACATGGCCTTTCTTCACTTTACAGTTAATATCAGCTTATAAGTGAGTACATACCATGTTTGTTTTTCTGGGTCTGGGTTACCTCATCCAGAATGATTTTATCCTAGTTCCACTCATTTGCCTTCAGTTTTCTTGATGTCATTTTTTTTTTAACAGCTGAGGAATACTCCATTGTGTAAATGTACCACATTTTCTTTATCCATTCATCAGTTGAGGGACATCTACGTTGTTTTCAGGTTCTGGCTATTATGAGCAAAACTGCTATGAACATAGTTGAGCAACTGTCCTTGTGATATGATTGAGAATTCTTTGGGTGTATGACCAAGAGTGGTATAGCTAGGTCTTGAGGTAGATCAATTCCCAATTTTCTGAGAAACTTCCATATTTATCTCCAAAGTGTGGGCCCCATTTCTTAAAAGTTCTATCACCTCCCACATCACTAACACCATGGGGATCAGGCCTTTAATACAGAGACCCTTGGAGACCAACTCATAAAACCAAGGCTCTTTGGAGACTTCAGACCCTAGTATCCCTGCCATGTTACCTTTCTCTGGGCTTTGCTTTTCTGCAAGTCTACTGTCTCTTTCACTCAGAAACTCCACTGTCACAAAAGCCCAAGCATGCTGTAAAGATATTATGAAGAATACTTGATTCAAAAGCTTGTGAATCACAAGGTTACATAGAGAAGTTACTCTAATCTTGAGGAACACACCCAGTGCCTCCCGGAAGGAGATCTGGCAAGTCCCCAGGCCGCCTGTCCTGGGAGGCACACAAGGGGCAAGGGCCAGGTCCCAGCAGCATCTCCAGCAAGACAGCCACGGAGAGACCATGGAGCAGCTCTTTGTTTTTGTGGGGCAGCTTGTGTGCCTGCTCTGCCTGCTCAAGTGTGTGAGGCTTTCCCGGTACCTCTTGCTGAGCTTCTGGAAGGTTTTACCAGGGTCTTTCCTGCGATCGATGGGACAATGGGCAGGTAAGAAGACCCCTAAGTCGTACTGATTTGATTGCTCCTGTTTCTTATTCTTGTGTCTCAGAATGCTTCTGAGACTTCACATAAATGCAATGGCGTGGCTAGACAGCCCGAGTGGAATTAGAACTATCTGAACATCAAGGCATGGGTCAGGAGATGGTGGAGGGAGACTGCCCCTCAGTTCTCACCCACGTGTCTGCTACTTTGCTAGATTTTCTTCTTACTGGAGTTTTTCTGGTAATACAAATAATAAATAAGGCAGAAATACCTGTCTCTTCATCTACAGATTTCTAAACCCCGGACTGGTGTGCATCCGTTTGCTAAAGGGTATTTCAAAAAATTTGAGGTGCAAATGTTAATTTATTTTTTATACATCCCATGCCCTTCTCCACTAAACTTGTCAACTTCGCAAACTTTGTCATAAGTGTTTGTTAAATGACTATATGGGAAATTGTTTAGGATGAACCCGTGAGTTTCTAATTGATGCTTCTTATGCTTACACTGTGTGTGCACACATATATGGTGTGTGCACATGTGTTTGTTGCCTCTAGTAACCTTACTAGGCTGCCTGGGCTTGTGTGCTCTGATCCGAGTATCAAATGCCGTGCACAATCAAATGCCCATGTGCCTGGAGCTACCAGACATCTCAACAAGCACTGCCCATGTAGACCCTCTAAGAACCCTCCCCCAAAAGCAGTTAAAATGGAGCCAGAGACTCTGCGGCTTCAAAGTGAAAAATATAATCTTAGCTCGTTTGGGAGTCAAGAATGCATAATGTTATCATGAACAAATATGTAATGTCTTCAGGCACAGGCCAGCCACCGGGGGAAAATATTTCAAGGAGGGGACAACCCCCCCTCCAGTTATAAGGCTGGAGAACACACAGAGAGAATATCATGAGATCCATGCTCAATAAACTTAATAGATTTTTTTTGTTGGCATTTTTTAAAGCATGTCCTTCAATTGCTGGTGCCAAGGTCAGTCGCAGGTGTATGTGTAGTGAATTGTGGCATTCTGTCTCCAATTTTAGGAAGGAAGGATGTAAAGGCATTTGAGATTGTTGGGTACTAGCAGATAGTGGTATTGAGGATTAGCTGTCTAAAGTCATTGGGTTTCTGCACCCCTCATTCCTGTGTCCTTTTTGCTAGGTTCCCTATCTTCCACAGGCATTGAGGGCTGCTGTCCTGTGGGGTGAAGGAAGGGAGGGTCCAGACTTCACTTCTCAGACAGAACACTGAGATGTTCTTAGGGTAACCACTGGGCAGGGTGAAGCAATAACGGTTCACTTGCTTGCCCTGGAGGTGCTAAGGCTTGTGCTACCCCACACATTAAGAAACCTGGATAAAATACTTATTGATTTAGGCTTTGCTGCATTTCAGAGTGTGTTTTCTAGATACATGGATCCCTCTGAAAATGACACACACAACCTCTCACACCCCAAACAGGCAGTTCTGTAAGGGGGGGGACCAAAGCTGGAGTGAGAAAACGTGGCTTTGTGGTATTGAGAGCTCTAGACTGAGTTGTACAGGAGACTGTAGTTGAGAGAGAGAGAGAGAGAGAGAGAGAGAGAGAGAGAGAAAGGCACCGTTCTGTTGCTTCAAGTCTGTCGCTGTTTCTTGCAGTGATCACCGGAGCAGGAGATGGCATCGGGAAAGCCTATGCATTTGAGGTGAGGTGGCCGCTTTTTTTTTTTTTTTTTTTTTTTTTTTTTGTGGTTTGGATTTTGGAGATCAGGTCTTACTATGTCTCACTGGCTGATCTCAACTGGATCTCCTGCCTTGGTTTTCTAAATAGCTGGGACTCAGGTGAATTCCACCAGCCTAGCTTTGAAGCTTTCTCCCCTGTTGTCATGGGACACCCACCCCACTCATCACTTTCCCGTGTATAAAAGTCATAGACATTCATTTAAGAAGTATACTACCTTTAGGGCTGGAGAGATGGCTCAGTGGTTAAGAGCATTGCCTGCTCTTCCAAAGGTCCTGAGTTCAATTCCCAGCAACCACATGGTGGCTCACAACCATCTGTAATGAGGTCTGGTGCCCTCTTCTGGCCTGCAGGCATACACACAGACAGAATATTGTATACATAATAAATAATAAATATTAAAAAAAAGAAGTATACTACTTTTAATGTGAGAGCCCAATAAAAAAATCTCACCCTTTAGAAACTTAAAATAGTTTTACATGTATTTGTGTGTGCAGAAGAGGAGCTGGTGTTACAGGTGGTTCTGAGCCACCAGTGTGGTCTTCTGGAAGGGCAGCAAGTGCTGAGTCATCTCTCCAGTCTCTTCTCTAACACGAGCAGACCAGTGGCTGTACCTCCATTTAGACTTTAGGGACTTATGGGGCATTTGACGTTTTAGGGTTGCAATTGGGCCATGGTGTTTAGATATTTACCTTTAAAAATGTAAACTCAGCCTAGTGTGGTGGTACAGGTCTTTAATCCTAACACTTGGGAGGCAGAGGCAGGAGGCTAGCCTGGGCTACAGAGCAAGTTCCAGGATAGCTAGGGCTACATAGTGAGACCCTGTCTCTAAATAAATAATAAATAAATAAATGGATAATCCCTTTTATTTATTCCATAGAAAGAGGTAACATGCTGATTCAAAGATTATTGTGTGGGCTAGATGAGTCACGTATAGCTTCTGTTTCAAAGCACTGGGGAGGCAGAGACAGGGAATTCCCCTTGGACAAGCTGACTAACTAGACCAGACAATCAGTGGGGGTTGGGTTTAGCAAGAGATGCCTCCCCAATAAATAAAGTGAATGATTGAGGAAGACACCCCATGTAAACTTAAGCCCTCCATAAACATGCTAGCCTGACACACTTGTGAGCTCATGCATATTTAACACCCACACATACCACACATGTACAAAAAAAAGTATTCAAGTCTTTATAGAGAGTATTATAAACCTCCAATGAGAGGAACGAGTCCTCCTGAACAAGGGAGACAGAAAGATAACTCCTAAATTTCTTTCAAATTCCAGGTTACATATATATATATATATATATATATATATATATATATAATTTTTAAAATGTGATAGTTATTAGCATTTTCTTTTATAAAAAGATTTCCTTAAATTTTATTTACTTATTTTTTCACGTGTGTGTGTGTGTGTGTGTGTGTGTGTGTGTGCACGCCATGGCATGCATGTAGAGGTCAGAGGACAACTGCAGAGTCAATTTTCTCCTCCACCAAATGGGTCCTGCAGATGGAACTCAGGTCATCAAGCTTGCTGCTAAGTCTTTTCTCACTGAGCCATCTGCCTAGCCCTCCACAATATCATCTGGAAGTGGCAGTGTAATATTCTCTCAAATGAAGGTCTGTAGCTCAGCCGTGTTTTTCTCACTAAAAAGGTTTAGGTTAACCTCCTATTTTTTCTTCATTTTCTATAAACTTGGAAACAACTTGTAGAGATTTATATTAAACTCTGAAGTCCTAGCTGGTCCCAGCCGTCACACAAATGTTGCCATAGGCTGGGTAGCCCAGACAACGCATTCCTCACAGCTCTGGAGACTCGAAGGCCACATGCTGAGTGCTCAGTCCTCCTGCTGGATTACAGACAAAGAGTGTCTCAGTGGGTCCCCAGAAACAAGCTCTCTGGGCATATCTCAGGGCACTAACCCCACAACATGGGCTCCACCCTCAGGAACTAGTCTACAGCATGTTGTACATTACATGCTGAAAATTACACCTTTGGCTGTTTTCCCAGTAAGGGTTAGGATTTTGTTTGTTTGTTTGTTTCCTTTTTTATTTGTTTTTTTTTTCAAGACAGTGTTTCTCTGTGTAGCCTTTCCTGTCCTAGAACTAGTTTTGTAGACCAGGCTAGCCTCAAACTCACACCTGCCTCTGCCTCCCAAATGCTGGGATTAAAGATGTGAGCCACCGCTGCCCAGCTAAAGGATTTTTTGTTTTGTTTTATTTGAGACAGGGTCTCACTAGATATCCCTGACTGTCCTAGAACCCACTTTTTGACCAGGCTGGCCTTGAACTCATGGTTCAAGCCTCTGTGCCTATCGGAAAATGTGTGACCTCTGGTTGTTTGCCCAGGTCTGTTTGATCAGATGTAAAGAGTTCTTCATTCTTACCCTAGTTCATATATAAGGATGTCCTCACAAGCATTGGCTGGCCCTTGATAGATGATGAGTGGTCATATTAGATTGTGGAGAATAGGAAGAGGGCTCAGCAATTTCTTTTGAAAGCAGTCTTTTGCTATCAAAAACTGCGGAAGACAGGGCTTGCAAGATGGCTCAGCTGCCAAGCCTGGAAACCTGAGTTCAATCCTACTATGATGGAAGGAAAGAATCAAGTCCAGCAGGTTCTTCAATGATCTTCACTCATGCGCTCTCTCTCTGTCTCTGTCTCTGTCTCTGTCTCTGTCTCTCTCTCTCTCACACACACACACACACACACACACACACACGCACGCACACACACATGCATGTAACCCTTCTCTTCCCCACACACAATACCATACCACAACACACACATCCCCCCCCCCCCCCGCCCCCAATATAAAGGATGCCTTCTTACTGCTACAGCCTGGAGCTTGACTTTCCCTTCAAGGCCCATTTACAGCTCGTGGTGCTGCTGGGAGGCTGTGGAGCCTCTAGAAGGGAGCTAGGCTCTGAGATGTGTTCATAATTCCTGGCTACCCTGAAGGGAGCAGCTTCCCCCTGCTGAGTTCAGTCACTGAGGGTCCATAACAGAGGGGTCATGGCCACCGACAGGAACTTCGTTGACCTTGGGTCCAAATAAACCCTGCTGCCTTTTAAGTTGTTTGTCACAGTGATGGAAAACTGACTGAGGTCTGTGGCTGTCGCAGGGTTCTATTGCTGTGAAGAGACACCGTGACCATGACAGCTCTTATAAAGGAAAACCTTTAATTGGGGCTAGCTTACAGTTTAGAGGTTCTGGCCATTATCAGCACGGCAGCACGCAGGCAAACATGGTGTCGGAGAAGGAGCTGAGAGTTCTACATAGGGATGCACAGGCAGCAGGAGGTGACTGCCACACTGGGCGTGGCTTGAGCATCTGAGACCTCAAAGCTGTCCCCTGTGACCACTTCCTCCAACAAGGCCACATCTCCTAATAGTGTCACTCCTATGGGCTTGTGGGGTCCATTTCAAACCACAACAGTGGCTCGAACTCTGAGCTATTGGGATTCTTTCGGACTTCTCCTTCTTTCCTTAACTCCACATAGACCTGACTTTGTTTCTTGGTACTTAGAGGAGATCCCAAGTCAAACGCTGCCTGAGCCATTCATTTCTTTATCATCTTTTAAAGAAAGGTTCACAAACTGGGGGCTGGGTGGGCTTGGCAATCCTCACTCAGACAGGATCTTTCGATTCTGACCAAGGGATGCATCCTCCTGGGGCTTCTGAGTCACCAGAGAGTTCTCCTGTGAGCCTTGGGTCCTGACATTCTGTTCCGTCCTTGACTAATTCTTATTTTTTTCTTCTGTACAAACTTTTTAATATTTCCTCGTGTTCTTTTAAAAAGTTAATAAAATTTTTTCCCTAGGCTTGTAACTTTTCTTCATGCAGACTTTTCTCCGTTCCAGAGTCTATTCTCTCCTGCTGACTGCTGCTCCAGAGACAGGGGTTCAGTCTCGGGTGGTCAGGACTCCATGGCTGAGAACTGGTCAGATATGTGGGTATCTGGAGCTTGCCTCTGACCATCACTGCCCCCTTCCCCTCCCTCCTCCGTCTTCTTCTTCTTCTTCCTCCTCTTCCTCTCTTCTTCTTCTTCTTCTTTTCTTCTTCTTCTTCTTCTTCTTCTTCTTCTTCTTCTTCTTCTTCTTCTCTTCTTCTTCTTTTCTTCTTCTTCTTTTCTTCTTCTTCTCTTCTTCTTCTTCTCTTCTTCTTTTCTTCTTCTTCTTCTTCTTCTCTTCTTCTTCTTCTTCTTCTTCTCTGCTTCTTCTTCTTCTCTTCTTCTTCTTCTTCTTCTCTTCTTCTCTCCTCCTCCTCCTCTTCCTCCTCCTCTTCTTCTTCTTCTTCTTCTTCTTCTTCTTCTTCTTCTTCTCCTTCTCCTTCTTTTTCTTCTTCTGACAGGGTTTCTCTGTGTAACAGGCTGTTCTGGAACTTGTTTTGTAGACCAGGCTGGCATATCACAGATATCCACCTGCCTCTGTCCCCCGAGTGCTGGAATTAAAGGCTGCTGGTCTCTTCTTTTTTACTTTTGCTTTTATTTTTAAAGTTTTTTTTTTAAATTTATCTTTTTAAAATTTAAAAACTTTTTTCATTTTACATACCAATCCCAGTTTCCCCTCCCTCCCTCTTCCTGCTCCTCCCACTTCCCCCCCCCTCCCATCTACTCCTCAGAGAGGGGAAGGCCTCCCATGGGGAGTTAACAAAGTCTGGCACATCAAGTTGAGGCAGGACCAAGGTCTTCCCCCTGTATCTAGGCTGAGCAAGGTATCCCTCCATAGGGAATGGGCTCCAAAAAGCCAGCTCATGCATTAGGGTTCCACTGATAGTGGCCCCACAAACTGCCCAAGCCATACAACTGTCACCCACATTCACAGGGCCTAGTTCAGTCCTATGCAGGTTCCCCAGCTGTCACTCCAAAGTCAATGAGCTCCCACTAGCTCATGCTGGTCTCTTCTTAATCACTTCTTAATCACTTAATATAATGTCTTAGTCCAGCACCAAATATCCCAGCAA